TTAACCACATATAAGCAACGGAAAATCATCATATATATATATATATATATATATATATATATATATATATATATATATATATATATATATATATATATATATATATATATATATATATATATATATATATATATATATATATGTGTGTGTAGATCAACATCATATACAAGTCAGGTACATCAGCATCGACTATCTGTCCAAAACATACATCATGTACAACCACACATCAAAAGATCCACCAAAACATATCATCAACAAGATACGCCACAAGGGCACCTGAAACATCATATAACAAAGAACTCCCAAAAGCCCCGGTGTGATGTATAAGAGCATCCCTACGACTCGCCACAGAATAAACTAGCTATCACCTGAAATCTCTATACTTCCGAAGAAGCACAGACCACAACAAAGGCAAAGGGGTAAGAAATTACGAACAAAACATAAAGGTAACGGTAAACATGAATATGAAGGCAGTAAACACACACATAATTCACACGCATCATCTCGGACCTACGGTCTCACACCATCGCAACATACACACGACTATGCAACACATGCAACTCGAAACATGAAATACGGTACCGACTCAGGGTTCATCATCGAACCCGGATAGATCACTCGAGCCACCCTAGGCAACGATCTATCCCACTGAGTATATCTCATATGCCCCACCGAGCAATATGATCAACCCCTGCATCCACTCCTTTTCGGAGCCTGAGTTTATTTCATACGCCCCACCGAGCAGTATGATCAACCCCTTCACATTCCCTTACGGAATCCCGAGTCTATCTCATATGCCCCACCGAGCAATATGATCAACCCCTGCATCCACTCCTTTTCGGAGCCTGAGTTTATTTCATACGCCCCACCGAGCAGTATGATCAACCCCTTCACATTCTCTTACAGAATCCCGAGTCTATCTCATATGCCCCACCGAGCAATATGATCAACCAGCACATATAATACCTATCATACACTCAATCAACTATACGAAGACTACGAGGAATCACGTTCCCGTGTTCACACTTACACACAGCAGTGCCCTGTTAACTCTCAGAATCACCCACGACCAACAGAGGTCTAACGGTACAAGAACGGAACAGCACAGCATAAAATGCCCAGAATTATGTCATGTTCGCTTGCTCATTCGCCTGGCGAACCCTCGCAGCGAACCCTCGCCACCATTCGCCTGGCGACCCCTTCAGCGAAGACAGACAGTAGCTACTGTAAGTATTCGATGTCTCTCGCTCGCACACTCGCCTGGCGAGACCTCGCTACAAGCACTCGCCACCATTCTCCTGGCGAAACCTCACTACTCCGCTCGCTCGGCGAATCTCTGCGATTTCAGAAACATTCTACAGCTCAAAATCAGAACCGCTTCCCCCTTGCACCCGATTAAATCCAAACGAATCCCCGACCATAACGATACGTTACAGGGCAAAAACCTACACTACCCATCCTAGTTTCTACCCGATAACAACCACAGTTCTGATAATTGCACAGTTCCGGCATAACAATGTCAGTTTGCCCGGAAACCCCAATTCTCCCAACAACTCAACATCAACAACATGCAATGCAATCAACATGAACAAAATCGATAACAGAATCACAACAACAATAACATGCATAACAAAATTCATGGGATTAGGGGAAATTCCCACTACCTTAACATTCATGCTATCTACCCGTTTTGATCACTTTCTCCCCCCTACCTCGAATTCTAGTTCCGAATGTTGAATCCTTGCCCCCAAACGGAAATCCTAGCCTCCTCTTCTTCCAATTGCTCAGCTGCTCTCCTCCACTCTTGGTCGTATTCCTCTTCTCTCTTCTCCTTCACGCGTTCTTTTTCTCTTTTCTTTTCCCAACTTCTCCCAATTCCACTTATGCCCTCAATACCCTTTTCTACTCTTTCCAATCTTACCCTTATTCACTAACTCCTCAAATTATCTTAATCCAATTCTATTAACATAATAATAGTATATTAACAATAATAATAATAATAATAATAATAATATCAATATTACTAATATCACTATTATTTATTAATTATCATTTATTGTTAATAATAATATTATTATAATTCTTAAAGTCTGATATTATTCGATCAAATTCCAACTTATGGCCTACACCCATCCGCGCCCGAACACATCCCCACAGACATGCCGAAAAATAATAAACAGCACAAAAGCATCGAAAATTGGATAATTAAAATGGGTGTTACAGTCAGCACCATCCTAAACACACTAAGTAAGCAATCGATGCAAATAAGTGTATGATCTCTAGTTAAAATGAGAAATTAAGAAAGAAAAAAATTATGAATAAAAATACATTTTCCTTCTAAGTTAGGTGTTCCTCGCCCGATCACTTAACCCAATGGTACAAACTCTTTAAGTTCAATTGATGCTTAAGAACATTTGCAGAGAAAAATGAAATAACAATGAGATCATAGTCACTAACAGATTTACTTGCCATGAATGTGTATGGATACCAGGCTTAATGTGATTTCACTATAATGAAATGGGGTGAAAAGAGAGCATGAGATATAGGTTGAGTTATAATGGCATGATTCAGATTTTTTTGCATAAGTAGAGAGTTTTTGAAATTATGTCGTTATGGTATCCTTGATATTTATATTTAGTACCTGTCGATCTAACATTAGCCTAGCAACCACGTATTATTAGAGTCTCGTCCTGTCTTTGTTTCGAACTATGCTTATTTCTTTTTACCGTGTTGGTTGATTGCTTGAGGACAAGCAATGGTTTAAATGTGGGGGTGTTTGATAACACGAAATCATATCGTTTATTTGGCTTGATTTACATGCATTTATTTGTGACTATTGTTAATTTATCTTGATTTACGTTCCATTATGCGGTTAATTTACTTTGTTTTACAGATTGTGGAGAATTTGGATCAAAGAAAGAAAAGAAGAAGAAATGGAAGGAAAAGAAAGAAGAAAGAAAGAAATAGAGAAGAAAAACGCAAAATACAGAATTTGTGTGCATGACGGTCGTCACAGCCCCCTCACGACCGTCACAGCCATCACGTTCATCACAAGCCATCACGTTCGTCACGATCAACACGACCGTCATGAGACCATAACAATCGTCATGGCCCCAAGTTCAGTATAACAGAAGCGTGCACGAACTTAATTTCTTCCGACTCTCTCCTCCTTTTCTCCTACACCTTCTCCACTAATTGCCCACTACTGGAAGTTACTCCCACTTTCCCCATAACTCATGCATGATCTCTGGAAGTTGAGAAAGGAAATATCTCCTATAAATAGGCCTGAGATTCACAGCATTTGGGGGGAGGCTTCGACGTATCGAAGTGCTGCCAAAATTCCTATTGAAGTTATTTTTATTTTTTCTTTTATTTTCTTTCCCTTTTCCCTTTAATTCAAAGCATTGTATTTCTTTCTGCAATCTTATTTCTCCATAGTAGAATCCTGCCGACATTGTGGAGGACTACTCAAGAATTCGGTTTCAATAATATTTTCCAGGTTCTTATTAATTGAATTATTGCTTTATTTTCTGTCATAATGCATGTTTTATTACTCTGCTGTCTATGTTTATTTCCGGTTGCATTAATTATTATGTCTAGTTAAATTAGTCTTATCGGTATTTAATCAAATTAGTAGGACAGGATTCGATAACACCCGGTGCACCTTACCTTCTTACAAACAACCTTTCTGCCCTTAGTTTTTAATCTAAATTCTAAATAAACCTTTGTCACGACAGTGAGAAGCTATTTACGGTGGTTTTGCCACGACAGTGGGAAACCATATTAAGGATTGAACTGGCACGCGAAAGCTGGGGTTCAAACCAGATAGTAAAAACTAGGCATTTATTTTAAATACAGCGAAATCGCTTTAAAAGAAATCAGAACTTACTTATTTTCAAAAAGTGGTTTTAACCCCAAATGGGACAGCGAAAGCGTACATTCCGCCTTAGAGTCATGACCAGAGTCAACAACCATCGTGAGGCAAAGGTCTTTAAACGAGTACTTTCTCTTGAAAATGTTTGCAAAGACTAAAAAGCACCGGTGACCTGTCGAATCCCCGATAACTAAGGCATTGCATACCGATATTCCTTATCAATATATTTCTAAAACTAAAAATATTTATTTCCTTCGCATTTACTTTCATTCGCATTTAACCTTCCAAATTCCATTAGCTTTAGCTTTACGCTGCAACAATAGATAACAGTAGATTGACATTGGTCTTTGTGGGCTCGACAAATCTTTTATATTACTTCGATATATCCGTGCACTTGCGGAGCATCATTTACCACTTTTACATTTATGCAAATACACTTTTTCTACATTTAGATTTCTTTATTGTTCGTTTTCCGTTTAACGTTCAAAGACTAAATTCGACCGAGTCGAAATTAATATATTAGTTACATTGCACAAGTTTATTTTACTGAAAACACCTAACAGTACATAAGAAATTCAACATAATTGAACACATACTTCCTTCTCTTTAAAACTCAACACAAACTTTCTTTAGGATTTACTAGTTTGGTCCTTCAAATAATTAACTTAAAATTAAGTGATTGTTTGCCAAAAACACCGATAAACAGTCACGCTTCATCATGTTCGACTCTCGGTCTAATTCTTCCCCTGATCAATAAAAACTCACTCAAAAATTATGTTTAAAAAAAAACTATAGACCACTATAAAAATAAAAATAAAATTAAAAAAAAAATCAATATCAAGACATCCGATATTAGTGAAAATTTTCAAAAACCAAAAGCAAACTTTATTGATGAAACTCGATTCCACCGCAAAATAATTTTCATTTTTCTAATTTATTGTGAACATAGGAATCAACGTCAACACAATTTAGACACATACATTATGTTTTTACTATTTCAAGGTTAATATATTTGCCTTTGTTTCATTGTTTTTGTTCTGATTCCGTTTTCCACTTCTATATATCATTTCCACATCGAAACCTTCCTTAACTGACGCCTCAGTTTCAACACAGAAGGCAGAAAGCAATGGCCACCACCATTACCAACAAGGTTTTCATTATTACATTGCATGAATGTTGGCATCTATATTATTAGATCTTGTGTAATGAATAAGTATTGAATTTCTGCAGAAAGAGATAGAGAAAAAGATAGATGATGATTATCATCTTCATCAAGACCAAAAACTGAAGCATCTTGGGTTTGTGAGAATTGCTGCTATTCATGCTTTTGTTTGCATGTCGAGTCTCTATGATTATGCGAAACAGAATTCAGGATCTTTGAGATCTGCGGTTGGAACCGTTGAAGGTACTGTTACTACAGTTCTCGGTCCTGTTTATCACAAATTCAAGCCTCTCTCTCAAGATCTCCTCCTTTTTCTCGACAATAAGGTTTCTCTCTCATCCATTGTTTCCTTTTTTTTTTTCTTTGTTACATGAAAACCCACCATTTCCTTTTGTTTATATGCATTTTTTGATTTAACCCTTTGAACAAATCATCAAAAAAGCTCCTTAATAATTCATGAGGAAATGTTTTTAAATGCCAAACCAAAACTACTACGGAATCATCTTGCTAGAACTCAAACCAACCAGATCCACCGTCAAAAGATCATGTCCCGACACAAGAGAAACAGAAGAGCCACCACCACACCCTGAAATTAACAACAACTTCCTTATTTGTGTACAGGAACAACAGGTTACATGTGCATGCATCTATAGTAACAATGTTTGTTTTTATTTCTTTCTGATTTTAGGACATTATTATATTACCATGTAACTAACTTCACTGTCAATCAACAGAAGAAACTGACATAGCTTCCTTGAAACTTGACATGCATGCAGTTTCATTCTCATGTTACTACATTCTATAGTCTTGTTTAAGGACGAATTCAGGATCAAATGGTTAGGACCAATTTTAATGAGGAATTTTGACAATGCTAAACAATTTTTGTTTAACGTGATTGTTATATGATTGTGGCAGGTGGATGATGCGACCAACAAATTCGACAAGCATGCTCCACCTTTTGCAAAACAGGTAGCAAACCAAGCGAAGGGTTTGATTCAAGAAGTAACACACAAAGCTGAGAAAGTAGTGAATGAAGCACAATCTGGTGGGGCGAAAGCCGCTGCTAATTATGTGGTTACCGAGTCAAAGCAAGTAGTGCTAACAAATTCGGTAAAACTATGGTCAGGTCTCAACCATTATGCACTGTTTCATGCAGTAGCAGAGATGGCGATTCCAACAGTTGCACATTGGTCAGAAAAGTACAACCATGTTGTTAAGAACATTAGTGGAAAGGGCTATGCTGTGTCTGGATATTTACCTTTGATTCCTGTTGATGAAATAGCTAAGGCATTTAAACAAGGAGAAGGTAATGTGAGTGTTGATCAACAAAATTTTTTGGTGAAAGATGTTTCTGATTGAGTACTAGTGTACTACTAGCTATTTTCTTTGCAAAATGTGGTTTGAGAAAGATCTAGAGGGTATGTAGTTATGAATGGAAATTAATGTAAGAAACTATGGGAATAGATCATGTAAGGTAAAGTACTGTTATAAAGTGTGTGGAACATAATGTGATAATGTCAATGGTGACTTAAATGGTCATTAAGCTTTTTTTGACCTTTTTTTCTTGCATAGATTTGATTATGTCTTGATTATGAATTGGGACAAGTTGACTTTTGGTTCAATTGGGACCAGTTTTCACATGAAAAAAAACTCATTCTCCCATTACACTCATCCATGTAGCAACAAAATATGGGTAACCTTGGAGGTAACATCATCCTATCCTATCCTTCCCTTCTTACATATACTTCTTGGTCATCACCTACTACTCTACTCTGTCTTCACCTCCATCTTTAACTCTTCCCAACACTTTTTAATAACTTCATCATATTCTCCAATGCTATCTCTTGTTTATTAGTGGATGGGTAACTTACAATTTTGCTAATCATCAAAGAAAAGAGATTAACTAGATAAAATAGTTTATGTTTAGAAACATTCTAATAAAAATGAGTTGGAAAAATTGAGTGGAAAAAGTTGCATTTGGAGTCCAAAACTACAAATTTTAATTTAAAATTTAAATTATTTTTAAAGACTAGAGAGAATTTGTTCAGAAGAGGAGTGTATTTTAAACCTACTAAGTTTTCTTGTCCCTTGTGTGGATTTTTGATTTAGACGATTTTTTATCTTTTTGTTATTTGTGAGGTAGCGTTGGTATTGTAGAATTTTTAGGTGGTTAAGATGACAAGTAGTTATTCATTGTGTTGTAGAGTTTTTAGGTGGTTAAGATGGCAAGTAGTTATTCATTAAGATCATTATTCATTGTGTTGTAGAGTTTTTAGGTGGTTAAGATGGCAAGTAGTTATTCATTAAGATCATACGATGCTTTTTAAGTTTTTTTTTAAGGGGTAGAGTTAAATATATGGCTGGTTATCTTCTAGATTAATGTGTCGTACTCTAGTACATTTTAAAGTTTGAAATTATATCATTTTTAACAAGGGTCACAATAGATGAATATTTTTTTTGCTTGAAAATGATTTTTGGGTCAAATTGAGGAGACCTCTTGCACCTTCACGAATTGATTTCAGAATCATATCCTCTTCTTATATCTATAGTGGATTGAGTGTTTGACTTAATTCTGAGTGTAATAATGGACCTTTTGTTTGTTTTTCGAAGAAATTTGATATGTTGATGGTGGATTCTTTGGTTTGAGATCTAACCCATGAGTAGCAAAATGATTCTTAAGTAGTTGTGGTATGGTTCGCCATGGGCCTACATTTTTAGTGATACATGATTATGATGATTTTTGAATGCATCTAATATGTTTTTTAGACACCACGCGAAAATCTAAAAATGCCTCCTAATTTCTGAAAATGCATCTTCGGACGCACTCAATACACATAATTCATTTATTTTTTATTCACACCCAAATTTTCTAAATAAATGTATTTCGAAAATGCATCTCCAAAAATTGTATTTGAAACCTACAAAATTAACTTAGTCCTTTTCCTAACAAAAGGAAGATGAAAGGATTCTTGCATTTTACTTCTTTATTTTCAACTTACATTTTATCCTTATTGAAATTCACTTAGTGAGAGTATAAGGAGTTTGTTGGATTCAAGTGATATGTTAGATATGAACTGCATATATTTCTTCATCAATCAATTCCAAACTTTTAGTTTATGAAGAAAATATTTATGAACTGTATATTTTTTTTCAAGTGCTTTTGAAGAAAATGTTGGCCACAGTGTTTTTGTCGAGTGCAAATAAATCTCTCAACCAATCATCTTCAACGCCTAGCAGATTTGGTGATAGTCAAAAGATTCTTTTAAGTATGCTGACACGTTTGGTTCCCTATTGCCCGATCTAACAATCATGGTGAGCACGAGTGAATCATTATCAAAACGGATGCAAGTACATAAAGTTAACAGTTCTGCTTGCACCCTGTATAGTAATGTTGAGCAGGTTCCGGAAATAAATGTATAGAAACTTTTCGAAGATGTATTTCCGGAATAAATTTATTCATAATATTGGGGTGTGAATAAAAAATGAATGAATTGTGTGTATTGAGTGTGTCTAAAGATGTATCTCCGAAAACTGTGGACATTTTTGGATTTTCGTGTGGTGCCTAAGAAACATATAGAATACATTAAGAAATTTCTTCTGGCGCACTAAAAGGTCTGTTAATGTTAAAATATTTTAGAGATACATCTTCAAATATTTTGGAGGTTAGGTTGCGCTAGACTTTTCTCCTTCCACATTTCACATTTCTTCAACCTCGACTTAAACCTCTCTAAAAATACTTCTCTACACCAAGTCACATTTCATTCAACAAGACTCAAAGAGACTCAAGGGAACATCAATATTCATCTGTAACACCATTCAACTTCATCAAAAACATATAAGATAGAAACATCAATATTCATCTGTAACACCATTCAACTTCTTGTAGGTTTTTCGAGTTTTCGGTAAATATTTGAGTTTTGGTGTAAATGAGTAGAAATCAAAGATTATGGTTAGAAATGAATAGAAATCACATCTAAGATAGCTTAGACATGGTGTATTAGTTGTTTGTTGGCTGAAAATGATTATTAAAAAAATTTAGATTGCATGGGGTACATTAAGTCATTGACGCAACTTCTAAGTTGCAGAAAAATTCGGAGATGCATCTCCAGAATTTTTTAGCGTTTAATTTTATGCATGAAATTTCGGAGATGTATCTCTAGAATTTTTCAACGTTTCATTTTTCTCCGGATTTTGGAGATGCATCTTCAGAATTTCCAGCAGTATTTTTTTTCTTGCATGTGTGTTGTTTGCATGTACTAATGATTCGTGTGTTCCAAACTTTTCATTGCAGGCTTGGATCCTCCAACACTTCTCGCGCATCTCTGCCTAGACAAGTGTACCTGAGTATACTTAGGATATGTGGTGTGTTAATACTTTTATCCCGCTCAGAGGGAACCAGGCAACTGAGCCTTTTAGAGTCTATCTTGACTGTTTGGTTCTTGAGAACATGCACTTCAACAGCTATGTTGATCACTGTCAGACGCAGTCATTTGATGAGATAGTGTTATACTCTAGATGGTTGTCCTGTGGATCGTGTCTCACTGCTCTTCATTTGCCCGAACGCGTCATACAACAATTCGAATACACTTAGACCATTCTCAGACACTCGTTTGTCTCTATTCCTCCTACCTTGAGACTTAGACAGATAGAGGACATGTTTGATGATTATGAGAGTCATCTGGTACCAAAGTAAGAACGAGCTACCATAGCTGAGAGAGACTGGAGCTACGTCGAATGGTACATCAGATGGTTCTCCGAGGTGTCACATTCATACATGGTGCATGCTGATCTATGAGATTCGTCGATACCAGCTCATTAGGAGATACTAGAGGAGGAACAGACATATCTAGATCATATTGATGATGTCTTTTTTAGGTGTCGTCATATATTCGAGATTGTGCAAGCAGCTGTTGCTACCCGAAAAAAATACGCGCAACGACGGGGAAGGCGAAAAGGAAAAGGACAGAAGAGTCGCCACCGAATTTTATTTATCCCATGAGGGGAAAGGAAAATATCGAGAAAACTTCAAGAAAAGAACGGATAAGATGGTCTCGCGACCAAGAACAGGTTTGGAAGCCGTTTATGCGAGGGGAAGGTATTAGCACCCCTCGCATCCATCGTACTCGGTGGGAACCATTTGTTTGTCGAATGTGTAAATTTATTTGCTTAAATGTTATGTTATAAAAGTGTTCCACGGGACAGTGAAAAAGGGTTTAGAAACGGGGAAAGGACGAACTCGGTAGGACTTCGCGGTCCTAGGCCTACGTATTCTCGATAGACATGAGAAAATCAGAGTCGACGTAGTTCGGGGAACTACCGATATAAAGGGGAATGTGCTCGACAAGGATTGTGGCCCTCGTGCCTACGTATCTTTACTTGAAAAAGTAAAGAATCAGAGCAGCTGTAGTTCGGCCTACGATTTGTTGATGTTTTGTATGGATGATGCTATCGTACGCATTCTAGCAGTTAGGTGTATTGTTGCTCGCTCGTTGGAGACTTAGGAATTTACCTGTTTGTGGTAGAACGGACGTATCATATCCTTTTCGAAAGATAAGTTTTCGCCATGCGAGGCAAGATGTCACATTTAATTTGTTGAATTATTATTATTTATTTTTTAGGGGCGAGATAGGTCCTCGGATAGTAACCCCTACGGATAGTACCCAATTCTTTATCTCAAAGTTTTTTGTTATGAAAGGGTGTGGCGAACATAGCGTCTTCGTATTGAAAGACGAGTATCAAAACCACACACACTACAGTGAGCGTCTCGTCACTCGGAGAGGAAGAAGTCTACACTTAATCCTTTCTCTTTAGTTCAATACAAAGAGAACTTCATTCTCTTATTAAAGTGTTTTTTGATTTTGAATGGTAAGTGCTTTTGTGACAGAGAACCCTACGGTAAACGTCAGCACTCGGGATAGGAAAAGGCCTACGCCTAACCACTCCACGACCATTTAAATTTTTGTTATGAAAAGAGTTTGAAAATGCACTCGGTGCGGGACCGAGGTTTTAGGAGAAAAAGGCGTGGATGAGAACGTCTTCATATTGAAAGACAAGTATCAAAACCACCCACACTACAGTGAGCATCTCGACACTCGGAAAGGAAGAAGTCTACACTCAATCCCTTCTCTTTAGTTCAATACAAAGAGAACTTTACCCTTTTATTAAATATGGCGAATTGGCTTAACAATCGTTCGAGAAAATTCGCTTGACGTCAGGTCAAGGATTTAATTGTTTAAAAAGGTTTGAGGTGAAGCGAGCAAGGTCGATGGCGGACGCACAAGGCGGCCGACTTACAAGGGTTAAAAAATGGCTCGATAAAATCGAGAGTTTGCTTTTGAAAATGGTTTTTTGGAATCAAA